TCCAGACCCCAGCAACTTGCTGCGTAAAAAAAAGGTCTCCTCATCTGGTCAACTATCTTACACTTGTGTCCTCTGGTTCCGACACCCGCCCGCCAGAGGAAACAGTTTCTCTCTATTTCCTCTATCGAAGCCCCTCAATAATTTTGAAGGTCTCAATTAATTCTCCCCGTAACGTTCCTTGCCCCCTCCCTTGACTCCTTGAAGGCCCATCTCAAGACGCACCTCTTCAACCACCTACCTACACCCTCACCCTACTTGCCCTCCACCCCTCTTGATCCCAACCTCCAGCTCGGGTGTAAATACTTAACTGTCCAGCGCCTTGGGACGTCCTCCCGACGTGAAGGGCGCCGTGTAAATGAAATGTCGTGTGTTGTGTTGTTTTGCCCCTCCTTCCCCTTCATCGGGTTGCGCCTGAAGACCTTCCTGTTTGACCATGTCTACATTTGTCGTCCCCCCCTCCCCCCCAGCTCGGCGTCGTGCTCCGCCACTGTCAAGCGCTTTGAGACGCTGCCCCGTGTGAAAGGCGCTATTTTGTTGTTGTCCTACGTCGTCGTCGTTGTTTTACGGTAATCGTTGTCTCCTTCCAGCCGACTACAGCAACCTTCCCTTGTACGTGAAAGCCGAAGCCTTCTTCCGCAAGACAGGAATCCAGGACCCCTGCCCTGCCGTGCCCCCCCGGGAGGCGTCCATCCGCAACATGGCCCGAGCGTACCAGACGCAGGCGCGACACGCCACGCTGGAGGCGGGGGGCAGCAAGCCCCCCCTGCACCCGCACTCCACCGCCACCTTACCTCAGAGGACTCTGACCGTGCCCAGCACCTCGGGACCAGCCCCCTCCACCATGGCCTCGGCCTGTGCCCCCGCCTCTGCCCCCACGGCTCCTGCCCCCAACGTCAACGTCTCCGCGGCCTCTGTGGAGCCACGTCTGCCCGCACACAGCAAGATCAGCGGCTCCAAAGACTCCCTGTTAGAAATGAGCACAACCGGACTCAACCGATCTCACAAACAAGGCTCAGCCGCCTACTCAAAGTCTTACACACTGGTGTAGAGACTCCCTACGTCTCATCCCTCTCTCACCCCCTCTTTCTCTCTCTCTCTCTCTCTCTCACACACTCTCTCGCTCTCTCCCCCTCTTCTTACCCTCCTTCTTCTCCGCCCATGCCCCGGCCCTCCCCGCCCCACTTCCACCCCACCCCCGCCCCCTCCGTAAACTCACCCCTTGTTAATTTGTAATAAAAAGACTTCTTGTAAATAAGGAACTCATTTTTTGGTATAAAAATAAGACAACTATTTTCTTCTTCCGCGATTAAAAAAAAATAAGACACAATTGGGGAGAGGGGGAAGGGGGTTGGGGTGGGGGGGGGTGTGTGGCAGGGAAACGGGGAAAAGGGGAAACGGTGAACTTTTCAATAAAAAATCTCCCCCTCCCCCCCAAAAAAAAAACTGAACAAACAAATGGTTTAAAAAAAAAGTTTAAAAAAAATTGTGATGTTATTTAAAAAAAAAGCAAAAAAAAATGATGATTTTTTTTAAAAAAAATGAATGTTTGGCCTGGTTTCCAACGGGGACGGAAACCACAGGGGCGAAACGAGGCAAAAGCAACTACTTTTATTTTTTTTCCTGCCCCCCCCCCCCCTCCCCCTCCCCCTCCTTTTTCTCCAACGTCAGAAAGTCGGGGGGGTTTGTTTCTTGAAGGTAACTCTGAAGCTATTTGCATGCGGACTATTTTACTGTTAACGACAAAAGATTTACTTCCTACACAGAGACAGAACCATCTTCTATTTGCAGAAATTTGCTTGTGTTAATTACCTTTTTTTCTATGAAAAAAAAACACCCACAACAACGATCCCACTCCCGTGTGCAATAAAAAGATTTCTTTCTAACGTTGTGCCTGTTGTATTTTGGGGTTTAATCCCCATCCCTGCTGCGCCTGATAAACACCCCCACCCTTCGAGACACATCACTCGCTCCTTCCCTCCCTTGCTCTTCTCGGGGGGCGTGGGGGGGGGGGGAGCGGGGTGTCTGCCACACACACACACGCGCTCGCGCGCGCGGAAACCCATCACCGTTGCTTGAGTATCCAAACCAAGCTGAGATTTCCATACATCCCACCGACACATGGAATTCCCAGAGATAGATAGAGATGGATTTCTCTCCCTCTGGAGGGACGTACCCTGTTTACCTAATTCCAGAAAGTATTAGGCGCAGGTTGGCGAGAGCCAAGGCTTGGGGGGGGAGCCCAGAGACTCCCTGCTGGAGTCTAACCGGCTAAACACACATAGTTTGCCATTGATATCGAAAGCTTTCCCGTTCCTTGTCCAGGGCTGTGTCGAGTTGAAGCGGTATTCAAAAACACAGTCACTGCACTCGGCAGCAATTGTCTTGGAAGCGCCTCGAGACCAGCGCTCTATCAACCACAAGGATGGCTATTATTATCAGAGTTATGAAGGGTGAAAAAACGCGGCCTGTGGCGTATTGGTTAGCGCACTCGCCTCACAAGCGAGAGGTCCAGGGTTGGATTCCCGGACAGGGCAAAACCTTAAGCAAGTTTCCTTATCCACACGCCTCAACTGTGTTTTCTTCCCCACATCCAAGCCATGACCCGCTCTGCCTTCCCTCACCTCCGCAACATCGCCCGACTCTGCCACTACCTCACCCCTCAGGCGCTGAAACTCTTGTTCGTGCCTTCATCACCTCCAGGCTCGACTATGCAAATGCTCTGCGTGTCGGTCTTCCCAACTCCTCCCTCCGCAGCTGCAGATAATCCAGAACTCTGCAGCCCGTGTCCTCTCCCGCACCAAACTCCATGACCCCATCTCCCCCACTCTCGCCCAACTCCACTGGCTCCCCATCCTTCAGAGGATCCAGTTCAAGATCCTGGTCCTCACCTACAAAGCCCTCCATGGCCTCACCCCACCCTACCTCTGCAACCTCCTAAACCCCTACCAACCTGCCCGTTCCCTCCGCTCAGCCGGCTCTGGCTGCTCCACGTCCCCCAACCTTTCCGCCCCATCATTGGCGGGAGAGCCTTCAGCCAGTCTGCCCCAACCTCTGGCACTCCATCCCCCAGCGTTCTTAGCGTCCTTAGCGTTCTTCAAGTCCCGCCTCAAGACCCTCTTCTTCGACCATGCCATCAACCACCCCCCTTCCCCTCCCCTCTCTTACGCCCCCCAACCCCAGGTCAGGTCGAAATGCTGTACACTGTCCAGCGCCTTGAGACATCCTGCTGACGTGAAAGGCGCTATACAAATATAATCTTGTTGTTGTTGTTGTTTACCCAGCAGTAAGTAGGAACCCGGTTATTAGGCATATTTCTTGAGACAGGGCCGTGAAGGAAGCAAGGGAGGGGGGCGAGGTGAAGAGCTTTGGGATGGCGTTCCAGAGGGTGGGGACAGAAAGGCTTAAGGCCCTACTGCCAATGGTGGGACAGAGTGCAGTGCGGGGGACGTGGAGCTTTCACAGTAACTTAACACATTTCAGCTGCTGTGGTCAGAATGGAGAAATGTCATTTCTTATCCCTGATGCAGCTGCAGGAGAAGCTGTTTGACCAATGTTGCTTTGAGGGACCAGGATAGTTTCATTTCTACTAAGTTGCAGTCCTTAGGTTAGTGGTTAGAGAACTCGCCTCGCAAGGGAGAGGACCTGGGTTCGGTTCCCAGCAGGGCGAAACCTTGGGCAAGTTTCTTTCTCCACACGCCTCTGTTTACCCAGGAGTATGTAGGACCTCGGTTGTTGGTCAATTGATGGATCGCTTTTCCGGGGTTAATAATCCCCTCAAAAAAAATGAATAAGATAAAATAATAATAAATTGATCACTCAATCCACGGCTGTTTGTGGGACGCTGCTGTGCGCAATTGGCTGCCGTGTTTTGCCCACAAAATCCACAGTACAGTCAATTCACTTTACAATGTGAAGCACTTTGAGGCATCTCAACAATGCAATAAGGCGCTATAGTAAGTACAAGGATTATTATTGTTAGTAAGTGGTACTGAAAGGACAGATACGATGGGCGGAATGGCGTTTATCTTGAGCTGTAAGTTTCAGGGATTCTACACAGCTGCTGTATGGTATATAGACACAACATATCCTGTGAAGTGCTTTGAGACGTCTTGCGGACGTGATAAAGGCGCTATATCAAACGCAAGGATTATTCCTATTATAGACCCTATTGAAAGAGACTGAGACACAGCCAGTGGCTCAAACATCTTTGTCTCAAAACCCACACAAGGTCCACGTCACAGTAATTACAGTTGTAGCGCTGACACTGTCTAATCAACTCAGTCCCAAGGTTGCTAAATCTAGGAATAGGAGGTTAGCAAAAGACGTTGCTTTATTAAGATCAGAGTTCTTCCCTCCAGGGCCCAGTCATCAGAAATATGTACCTCTCACCCTTCAGCCCACAGAGGAGATTACAGAATGGTGTTATCTGATTGGTGACTTTTTTATTAATCTGACACTTAGCGGAGTAATGTGATACGAGAGATATCTGATCAGACAGCAGAGCTTTGAGTGCGATGCGTCTACTGGAACAATAAGGACTAGCATGACTGGCGGGATGCTTACGATGATATATATAATTATGATAAGCTCCTTAGGGAGCTGTTGAAAGCAGAAAGTGTCGATTCATTCGAGAACAAATTAGATGGATTTCCATCAGGAAACAATAAATAACATACAACAAAAGCAACCTCACTCGGGGTAGCGTCCCAGAGCGCTATAGTTTGGGACACAACCTGTGCATGTAACTGTGAGGATGGTGGAAGGTGAACCAGACAGACTTCTTATGTTCCTTATGTTCTTATGCTGTATGAGCAACACTGGGATGAGATGTAAATGTGTTCAGTATGGATCTGAGGTGAGATACTCGCTGAGGAGTGGGGTATTGCTGTGTAAATCTGCCCAGATTCCTCCTCAATGACCTGTGACTTACACAGATGCCATCTAACATGTTTGCTCCCTTTTTTTGCAGCAGGTTTTTGTCCTTCAGGGGTGAGCGTGAGCATCGCACAAGAATATAGAGCAACAAAGACATTTGATTTGGTCTTTCCTTCTTCCAGAACCTCCCACTACTTCCTCCTGTACAATAAGCTAAACAATCTTTACAGCGTGTCGCGGGGGGTAATTCCAGTGAGTGTTAATTGTTTCACCTTTGACTTGACAACTAACAGGAATTGCTCCTTTTACGATCTCATTGTAAGGATCAGCATATGTTTTACTCAGCTGTGCTTTGTGTGCGCGTGTCTTTTTGTGTGTCTTTTGTGTTTGCGTGTGCCTCCGTGTATTTGTGTGTCTGTGTTTGTGTGTATTTGTGTGTCTGTATGTGTGTATGCCTGTGTGTATGTCTGCGCGTGTGTGTATATGTTTGTGTGTATGTCTGCGTGTATGTCTATGTGTGTGTGTATGTATCTGTCTGTCTGTGTGTGTATATGTCTGTGTGTGTGTGTATATGTCTCTGTGTGTGTGTGTGTATATGTCTCTGTGTGTGTGTGTGTATATGTCTGTGTGTGTGTGTGTGTATATGTCTCTGTGTGTGTGTGTGTGTCACATTACAAACAATACACAAAACCTTGCACTTCATGGCTGCCTGTGAAGATGTCATTATGTGCAAACTGGCTGCCGCGTTCACATACAAAACACACAGTCACTACACTTCCCAGTAAATCCCGTGAAGTACTTTGGAAACAACTTGAACGGCGCGGCATAAAATTCAGGGATTCATAGAAGTCTTATCCAACAAATCTCTTCCAGTCTTTATTAAAAACATTTAGGACCGTCACAGATCATCAGTTACAGACAAGACATTCCTACGCTTTCAAAGGATGAACATTAATCAGCACATATCGTAAGACCCAAATATCTAAGCCGCGGCAGTTGGACCCCAGCATTAATCTCTTTGTGGTGGAGCTCCCGGTGAACCTCACTGGAAACCCAACAGGTTTGACGGGTGTTTAAGGTTTGTACTCAGTGTGTTTGCGTTGTTGGTATTTCCGATACTGTGTTTGGATGGTGACGGCAGCTTTCTCAGAGGCAGAGTGACTCAGACTGTTCTCTTCGTTCGTTAAGGAATTCGGGGGACCTGCAACACACACACACACACAGATACACACACACACACAAACACAGAGACACAAACACAAAGACAGAGGCACACACACAAAGACAAAGACACACCCACAAACATACACACACAAACACAAACATACACAAACACACACAAACACAGACACACATACATACAAAATCAAACACACACACAAACACAGAGACCCACACGAACACACACCCACAAACATACACACAAACACAGAGACACACACAAACATACACAGACACACATACATACAAAATCAGACACACACACAATCACAGAGACACACACGAACACACATACAAATAGACACACACAAACACAGAGACACAAACACAGAGACATACACACAAACACAGAGACACACACAAAAACACACACGCAAACACAGACACACACACATACACACAAACAGAATAGAACGTCAACCAAGTGCTGAACGTAAAGCCACCGTAAAGCCGGAGAGAGCAATGCTTTCAAATAATAATAATCCTATTATACAATTAATCCTAACATTTTGATACAGCGCCTTATCACGTGGTTGATACGTCTCAAAGCGCTTCACGGGATATATTGCAAAGCGGATTGACTGTGTATTTTGTGGGCGAAACCGGAGCCTAACGGGTGAATGGGAAATCTGAAATTCCAGCCACTCATTGAATCACAAATCCTACAGCACAGAAGGAGGCCATTCGAAACATACATCCAATTCCTACAGCTAATACTTTCTAGAATGAGGTAAGCGTTCCTCCAGAGAGAGAGCGAGAGAGAGAGCGCATTCCATTCCAACAACCCATCTCTGGGATTTCCGTGTGTAGGTGGGAGGCGGGGAATTCTCAGTTCGGTTTATAATAATAATAATAATCCTCGCATTTGATATAGCGCTTTTCACGTCAGGAGGACGTCCCAAAGCGCTTCACAGAACACACTGTAAAGTGAATTGACTGTGTATTTGTGGGCGAACGCGGCAGCCAATTGCGCACAGCAATGTCCCACAAACAGTCATGGATTGAAAATGACCAATTTATTATTGTTTTTGGTTTTGGAGGGATTATTATTAGGCTCTGTGTGGAGTAAGGAAACTTGCCCGAGGTTTCGCCCTCTGCCTGGAATTGAACTCAGGTCTCTCACTTGCAAAGCGAGTGCTCAACCACTGAGCTACAGGACTTCCACTTTTTGGAGACTCTTAAGCAACGGTGACGGGTTTCCGTGTGTGTCAGACACCCGGTTGGGAAAAAAAAAGTCTAATTCCCTTTCGAAAGTTAACTGTCTCAGAGGAGGAAGTTTTTGTCTTAATTTGGAAAAACCTTCAAATTGTATCAGTTCCCAATTGTTAAATTCGAAGATTAAATTCAAGGATTTTCTGTTTTTCTGCACCATCTTCAATTTTAAGACGGGCCTTAACAAGCCCCAAATTCCACCCAGCCTGAGCCTGGTGATCCGTTTGCCTCCTAAAAAAATAATAAAAATAATAATAATTTGGTCACCTCAATCTGTTTGTGGGGACGTTGCTGTGCGCAATTGGCTGCCGTGTTTCTCCCACAAAATACACAGTCAATTCGCTTTACAGTATATTCTATATTGTATTATGATTAACCAGTAAAACACTTTATAATAATAATAATAATACTTGCATTTGATATAGTGCTTTTCACGTCGGGAGGACGTCCCAAAGCGCTTCACAGAACGCACTGTAAAGTGAAGTGACTGTATATTTGTGGGCGAACGCGGCAGCCAATTGCGCACAGCAATGTCCCACAAACAGTCATAGATTGAAAATGACCAATTTATTATTGCTTTTGGTTTTGGAGGGATTATTATTAGGCTCTGTGTGGAGTAAGGAAACTTGCCCGAGGTTTCGCCCTCTGCCTGGAATTGAACTCAGGTCTCTCACTTGCAAAGCGAGTGCTCTAACCACTGAGCTACAGGACTCCACTTTCTGGTGTAGTTATAACTGATGTACTTTGCCAGTGGTAGAGTGAGGGGAGGTGGGGGGGAAAGAGGTTAAAAAAGATTGTCTTCCTCTCTAGTGTTAGTCGATTGGCCACTGGATCGACAGGTTACTGTGTTTCGCCCATAAACATACAGTCACTACACTTTACAGTATCTCCTGTGAAGCACTTTGAGGCACTATGATAATAATAATCCTTGCATTTGATACAGCGCTTTATCACATTCTCGAGACGTCTCAAAGCGCTTCACAGGACATGCTGAAAGTGGAGTGACAGTATATTTTTGTGGGCGAAACGCGGAAGCCAATTGCGCACAGCAGCGTCCCATAAACAGTCAAATGCTATATTAATTGCAAGGATTATTATTGTTATTATTATTATTATCAAGATCTTTTAGGTGGCTGTGGTCAGGCCTGGTTTGGGAGCACATTCCCTGCACTGGGTGTAAAAGGGAAACTCACCTCTTCCGTGGCCTGTGTTTGAGGAGGTGACACTGCCTCTTCGCGAGTTCCCCTCCCTCTGAAAGAGACACAAGTGGAGCCGCATTCTGTTAGACCCACGAGAACTCTTAGCTTCGCGGTTAAGTGCTCTGAGACGCCGTCCAGCGCGGAGGGCGCTATATACATCCAAGTTGTTGTCGTTGTTGGAAATTTACCCACAGCGGCGTCATAGAATCACAGAATCTTACAGCACAGAAAGAGGCCATTCGGCCCATCGTGCCTGTGCTGGCTCTTTGGAAGAGCCACCAAATAGTCCCAATCCCTCCGGTCTTTCCCCAACTATTCCCACTCCCTCCGCTCTTTCCCCAACTAGTCCCACTCCCCCCACTCTTTCTCCATAGCTCTGCAAATTTTTCCTTTTCGAAGAATCTATCTAACGTCCTCAAGTCACGAGGATAGAAGGTGGGAAAAGGATAAAAATTTTGTTTCGCCCACAAACTATAAGTGAACAGCCAATTCACTTTTCAGTTTATCCTGTGAAGCGCTTTGAGACGTCTAAACGACGTGATAAGGCGCTGTATCAACAAGGATTATTATTATTATTATTATTGTTTTGGGGACAGAAACTCCCTTCTCTTTTTTGAGTAGTGCCGTCCGGCTGAACAGGACACAGAGGGAGAGCTTGGTTTAACGTCCCATCCCAAGGACAGCATCTCCGACAATTCAACGCTTCCTCCCAACACTTCACTGGAGCATCAGCCCAGACTGTAAGTCACTGTCATGGATGGGGTTTGACCCTTTGGACTCAAGAGGTGAGAATGTTAGCGACTGAGTCACACTGTCAATTTTATTTGCTCTCCTCCCCACATCCTCTATCGCCCCAAGTCCCCCATCTTATGAGCTGGAAAGTCACTGTCTTCAATGCAGGAGATGCACAGATGGTGAGACAGTGGGGATCGAGGAATTATAATGGTGTCACAGAAAACAGCATCAGTCACACACCGGGGGGGCCGGGATTGGGGGGAGCCTTTTACACTGCTTCCCTTTGTTCCTTGTTTAACGTTGTTTTAACGGGATATGTTCATTCATCACGTTTACAACAGCAGAGGACTGTCAAGTCCAACAATATGGTTCTTACCCCCACCCACCTCTCGCTCCTCACCCCCTCCCTCACTCCCCAAAGCCCCAGTTTCTCCTCCCCACCTCTGTGACCTGCTAACGCCACACCGGCCTGATCCACGTTCCCTGCCTTGCCCGCCCCACCATCGGCGGTCGGACCTTCAGTCTCTCTGCGCCCCTCCCTTTGGAACTCCATCCCACAGCCTCTACACCTCGCCCTCGCCTCCTTCAAGGACCATCTCAAGACCTTCCTCTTCGACTGCACCTTCAGTCACCCTCCTACCCCCAGCCCTCCCCACCCTCCAACCCCTCCTGATCCCAACCTCCAGCTCAGGTGCAAATCCTTGACTGTCCAGGACCTTGGGACGTCCCAACGTGAGGTAAATGTCATTCGTTGCTGCTGTTGTGGTTGAACGTAATGTACCTTCAACTCAATCAAACACCCACCCGACAAAGAACCAGAAACAGAGTCACCTTAATATCGGATAAATAAAAACAGACGTTCGCTTCACAGCTGTTTGTGGGCCGTTGGAAATTAGCTGCTGCCTGTGCATACACAACATACAGTCACTACACTTGTTAAGTCGTCTTCCCAATGCTGGGTGGTATTTTTCTGGTCAGCCGTGTGTCTGACATGTGCAGGAAACCATCAACGTTGTTTAAGAGTCTCCACCTCAACTGAGAATTCCAGGCATCCCACCCCCATCCCCCCCCACACACACCCCTACACACAAACACACACACACACCTACACACAAACACACACACACACCTACACACAAACACACACACACACCTACACACAAACACACACACACCTACACACAAACACACACACACACACCTACACACAAATACACCCACACACACACCTACACACAAACACACACACCTACACACAAATACACCCACACACACACCTACACACAAACACACACACCTACACACAAATACACCCACACACACCTACACACAAATACACCCACACACACACCTACACACACACACACACACCTACACACAAATACACCCCCACACACACCTACACACAAATACACCCACACACACACAAACACACACCCACACACAAAAAATACACATACACACCTACACACACAAACATACCCACCCACACACATAAACACACCCACCCACACACACACACCTACACACAAATACGCGCACACACACCTACACACACACATACACCTACACACACAAACACACCCACCCACACACATACACACACACAAACACGCACCCACACACAAACACATACACACCTACACACAAACACACCCACCCACACACATACACACACAAACACACACACATCTACACACACAAACACACCCACACACACCTACACACACACACACCCACACACACACCTACACACAGATAAAAACACACACCCACACACACAAACACACCCACACACACACCTACACACACATAAAAACACACACACATTAAAACACACACCTATACACACAAACACACACACACACCCACGCACAAGCATACACAACCCCCCACACACCTTCACACACACAAACACACAGCAAGCATACACACACCCACACACCTACGTACACATAAACACCCAGACACACACCTACACACACACACACACACACACACACGGGGTCACAGAGCCAAGGGATGGCCTCACCTCATCTCCCCGGCTGGACTTGCGGCTCACACAGTGTACCTGCCAGGGCAGTGGCTGATACGCCAGGTAGTGGACAGGCTCGTCACGACGAATCCCAGCTCCGATCTGCGGGGAGGGGGAGAGAGAGAGAGAGAGAGAGAGAGCTTCGGCAAGTTTCCCTACTCCACACGTCTCTGTTCCTACGCAGTACGTAGGAACCCGGTTGTTAGTTGATTGGTGGATCGATTTTCCGGGGATAATAATCCCTCAAAAAAAATCTGTGCGCACTTGGCTGCCGCGTTTCACCCGCAAAATACACAGTCACTACACTTTACAGTAGACTCTGTGAAGCGCTTTGAGATATTACAACGGCTATATCAAATGATCATTATTTTTATCCTCCCTCGCTCAGGGTGGGGGGGGCGGGGGGGGAGGAGGGGAACGAGATGGTAGAGGGATCTCGAAGGATGTTGTTACATAAATAATGCACTGAGCAACGCATTTTATCATAATATTAATAATAATAATAACCCTTCCATTTGATACTGTGCCTTATCACGTCTTCAAGACGTCTCAAAGCGCTTCACGGGATATACTGTAAAGTGTGGTGACTGTGTGTTTTGTGAAATCGCGATTTATTTGGCAAAATCTGGAGAAGAATGATTTGGTTTAATTTGCTCAGGATTATCTTGTTCCTTCGCTTGCCACAATACCCCCCACCACGTCTCCCCCGCCCCGCCCGCCCCCACCAAGCATCTCAGTTTCCCGATGATCGCATCTGCTCATGGTGTGATGGACGTACTCTGACAGCAAGCCGGGAGGGGGGGGGGGGGGCAGCCATTTTGTGGAAAAGAGACACAGAATTCTCCAATAAAAGGTAATTCCACCCGGACCCGAGCCAATAAACTGCATTACTTCTGTAAGAGACCCTTCCACCATCTTGGTTTTGCTCACTGAACGCATTTTTTGCTCACAAAGGGTAACCCGTCCGAGTGAGGAGTCCGGTACTGGGGGGATTGGGAGCGGGCGTGAGAACATAAGAATTTGCTTGGCCAACGGAGACCGAATTCAATTTGATTACAGCGCCTTATCAGGTCGTGGAGTCGTCTCCAAGGGCTTCACAGGATACACTGTCCAGTGGAGTGACTGTGTATTTTATGGGCGAAAGGCGGCAGCCAATTGTGCACAGCGGCATCCCCACACGTGGATCGAGTGCCCGAATTATCACTATGGTTAGACTCACCTGTCCAGCCGCCCTGACAATAAGGAAGAGAACCGTCATCAAGGTCCCCAGCATCTTTCCGGCCTTCCTTCTCGCTGCTTCCTACTCTGCGAGTTTCCAGACCGTGTCGGTGATGTTGAGCTCGTGGTTGGTGTTGCTGGAATCTCCTGGACTGGGTCAGTCAGGCTGTCTTTAAAGCCGCTAATGAGCTTACGGGTCTAATTCCGTGGTCCCTGCGTAATAACAGCTTACGCTATTTTCTCCTGATCACCGTCTCGTCTTGAGAACCTGGTGTCTCGGTCTCGGCTCTTACGATCGGAGAGAGACGGGTGGGGAGAGGGTGGGTCTCTCTTTCTCTCCTCTCACTCTTCTCTCTCGCTGTCTCTGTCTCGGGATCTAGATCTCTCAGGTGTCTCTCTCCCTCTCTTTCTCAACAATCTCTCTCAGGGGTCTCGTTCTCACTCTCTCTCGCACTCACTCTCCCTCGGTGGTGTCTCTCTCTCGCTCTCTATCTCGGTGGTCTCTCCCTCTCAGGGGATCTCTCTCTCTCTCTCTGCGGTATCTCTTTCTCTCTCTCCCTCTCTCAGGGGTCTCTTTCTCTCTCTTTCTCCCTCTCTGAAGGGTCTCTCTCTTTCTCCCTCTCTGAAGGGTCTCTCTCTCTCTCTCTCTCTCTGGGGTCTCTCTCTCTCTCTCTCTCTCCTGGCGAGGAAGCTCAATTCACCACAGCCTGTAGCTCCTTCCTTTAGCAAGAGAAGCTCAGCAATGAGACAGCAGCCTGGCTCTATAAATAGAGCAATGTGTGGGTCCTGTGTGGGTTTGTGCTCAGTGATAGGTGCCAGGACAACCTCATCGGCTTGATCTGTGGATGACACAAGTGCTAAAGGGATGAACTCCATTTGAAACTCCACTGGGTTCCTTAAACCCACTGGACAAACATCCTCCCACCCCCCACCCCCCACCCCGCACACACCCTTCGCCCCCCACACACACCTTAGTGAAACACCAGAGCTTAAAGCGTATAATGATAATAATGTGGAGTTCTGTAGTTCAGTGGTTAGAGCACTCACCTTGCAAAAGAGAGGACCCGGGTTCAGTTCCCGGTCGGGGCAAAACCTTAGGGAAGTTTCCTTACTCCACACACACGCCTCTGTTTACCGGCACTAAATAGGAACCCGGTTGTTAGTCGATCGGTGGATCTCTTTTCCGGGGGTAAAAATCCCTTCAACAAATCAATAAATAAATCAATACATAACTATTTGGTCACTCAACCCACGGCTGTATGTGGGGACGCTGCTGTGCGCAATTGGCCGCCGCGTTTCACCCACAAAATATACAGTCAATTCACTTTACAGTGTGTCCTGTGAAGCGTTTTGAGACGTCTCGAAGACGTGATGAGGCGCTGTTACAAATGCCAGGATTATTATTATTAGTGGTTAGAGCGCTCGCGAGCGAGCGAGAGGACCCGGGTTCAATTCCCGGGCGGGGCATAAACCTTAGGCAAGTTTCCGCACTCCGCACGTCTCTCTTTAGCGGCAGTAAGTGGGAAGTCAGTTTTTAGTCGATTGACGTTTCGGTCAGAAAATCCACAGTCAATTGGACGACGCGATAAGGCGCTCAATCAAACGCAAGGATCGTTATTATATTATAATTATTATTCACGAGCAGCATCAGCTGAACACACCAGGGCCCCGTCAGCGCGGTTGCTAATAGTAACGGTGAAGGTTGCCAACACTCCAAACCCGGTCAAGGAGCCGAGTTAGTCAGACTGAGCCTCTCACTGCCCACACAGCCAGGTGACGATTCAACGTGAATGTAACCAGCGCACAGCTAATGAACAGCGTAAACTCTACCCACATTTTTGGTGGTGGTGGCGGTGGGGGGTGGGGGGGGTGGGGGTGTGGGGAGAAATTCTTATCCACTTGGTTGTGTAAGAGGCTGAGAATTTACGGGTTTATCGACGGCTTTGTCAGAGCTTCGAACTGCGCGATAGAATTTTGCTACTTCCGAGCTACCCCCCCCCCCCCCCCAACACCCTCTCTCTCCCCCCAACCCCGCAAGAAAAAGACAAAGCCGGCGCCCAGCCAGGGAAGAGCTGCCATTAAAAACAATAATCTGGTCACTCAATCCACGACTGTTTGCCGGTCACTGCTGTGAGCAATTGGCTTCCTCCTTTGGCCCACAGAATACGCAGTCACTACACTTTGACTGTGTATCTTGTATATTCGGTGAAGCACGTGGAGACATCTCGAAGATGTGATGAGGGGCGATATCAAATGCCAGGATTATTAAGATGATTATTATTAAGAGAGAAACACAGGGGCAAGATATTACAATAAACCCCTCATAAGCCGTATCAGTTGGGACCGTACATTTAATATGACTTATGCCAACAACAAGATTGCAGTTATAGAGCGCCTTTCATGTCGGGAGGACGTCCCAAGGTGCTGTACAGTTGGGTCGGGACCCGAGCATTGGGTGGAAATGGTCAGGGTGAGGGGAGGGAAGGGAGGGAGCGAGGAAGGGGGAAATGGTCAGGGTGAGGGGAGGGAAGGGAGGGTGAGGAGGGGGGAAATGGTCAGGGTGAGGGGAGGGAAGGGAGGGGAGCTGAGGAGGGGGAAATGGTCAGGGTGAGGGGAGGGAAGGGAGGGAGCGAGGAGGGGTAGAGAGTCGAGAGCGGAGCTGAAGGCTGAAGGTCAAAGAGAAAGGTCTTGAGACCGGCCTTGAAGGAGGAAAGGGAGGAAGCGGCAAAGGCACTGGGGATGGAGTTCCAGAGCCTCGGGGCTGAAGGCCACCGATGGTAGGGCGGTTGGGGCGGGGGATGTGGAGGAGACCGGAGCCAGAGGAACGGAGGGTACGGGCAGGTAGGTGGGGTATAGTAGGTTGGAGAGGTAGGAGGGAGCGAGGCCGTGAATGGCCTTGGAGGTGAGGATGAGGATCTTGAACTCGATCCTCTGGGGGATGGGGAGCAGTGGAGGCGAGCGAGGGTGAGGGTGAGGGTGGGAGTGATGTGGTGGCGGTGTCTGGTGCGGGACAGTACACGAGCTGCAGAGTTCTGAATGACCTGCAGTGTGGAGGGAGGGCCGGGAAGGCCGACGAGGAGAGAGTTCCCATAGTCCAGCCTCGAGGTGATAAAGGCGTGGACCAGAGTTTCAGCCGCGTGAGGGGTGAGGTAGTGCCGTAGTCTGGCCATGTTCCGGAGGTGATGGAAGGCGGTGCCAGTTGTGGCGCGGATATGAGGGAGAAAGGACAGCTCAGATCTTCAAAGTGCTAATAAACTCTAAAATGATCTTAAAATAATCAACTTTTCCATGACACACATTTAAAAAACTCATCAATTTCCCCGTACGTCTCAATGGAACAATTTCTGTTCTAATTGCTCGCTGTGCGTTCAGTGTTGTATCGAGGATGTTACTCAGCTGTGGGGCCACCGGTGACCGAGGGCAGGATGGGAGTCTCGGAAATTCATAGAAATGAGGCTCGAATCAATAATAATTCTAATTGTAACATTATTATTGTTGCCGATATAGGGCATTGTGGAGTCCTGTAGCTCAGTGCTTAGAGCACTCGCCTCGCAAGTGAGAGACCTGGGTTCAATTCCTGGTCAGGGTGAAACCGTGGGCAAGTTTCCTTACTCCACACACCTGATAATAATCCCTCAAGAAAAAAACAATAATAAGTTGGTCACTTTAATCCACGGCTGTTTGCGGGGACGCTGCTGAGCGCAATTGGCTGCCGCATTTCGCCCGCAAATATACAGTCAATTCACTTTACAGCGATCACCGTAAAGCGCTTTGAGACGTCTACAAGGCCTGAAAAGCGTTATATCAAGTGCAAGGATTACTATTATACGACTCACACAGATCAGAAACTTATAGTTTTTACTGCAGTGATTGGTGGGCAATAATTATTATTATTGCCAATGTCGCACAGTGGAGGCAAAATTCTCTGTGAGGTCTGTGAGGTGCTTTTCTGCATTGAGGGACGCTACGTAAATGCAAGTTGTTGTGGTGGAGCATTGCTGGGGGGCAATCGACCAACCGTCCATTAGCCGAGGGTTGGATTCCACGTGAGTGTGGCACCATCTAGTGCTACAGAGAATATTGACAGCTCTGGAGAAGTGTCACCGTGTGCGCACGTCATCACTCGTTCAAGTTGCTGAGATGCTGAGGTTTGAGCTTTGACGTCTTGTTGCTGTGGATTTAACTCCCCCTCCACCACCGCACACAACCACCACCCACACACACACAAACACACACAACCACCTACACACACACACACACGCACCACCCACACACACACACCACCCCCACACGTAGGCACGGTCAAAGAAGGAAAGGGGCAAGGCGGAAGGATAGAGAAAGAGTGTTCCAGAGTTTCGGGGCAGTGGTCACTATTCTTACTTCACACACATTCAATCTCATACACAAATATCTAATACTCACACACACGCATACCCACACTCCCATAGATAATCACAGCAGATCCTGAGACTCATTTTGATGAAGAGACTTTAATTTGAGGAGAATAACAATCATGGTTCCTGAACATTTTGTTGAACAAACATCAAATTCCTGTTTTAGTCCACTTTCTAATGATTAAATCGACATGTCGGGCGGAATAATTATGCGATCAACATGATATTCTGGTGTGACCACGTGAGCGAATAGAGAAATTTACATGAATTTAAAAAAATCTGAGAGCTTTTTTTTCCTGGTATAATTTTCTCCACTTCCCTGGACTATGGGAATCTATATTCCCAATCCCATTCCTCAAAAATCCAGTCACTCAATTCTCAATCCACGACTGTTTGTGGGATACTGCTGTGCGCAATTGGCTGCCACGTTTCGCCCACAAAATATGCAGTCAATTCGCTTTACCATATATTCTGTGAAGCACTTTGAGACATCTCAATGATAATAAGGGGCTGTATCAAATACAAGAATTATTTATTTTAATCATATGTTAATCCTGGTGGAGTGGGGGAGGAAGAGAAGTAGGGAGGAGAAGGGGAGGGGGAGAGGAAGGGAGGGAAAGAGGTAGGGGGAGAGGGAGGGGTAAGAGGGAAGGAGTGTGAGAGAGGTGGTGGGTGTGAGAGAGATCCCTTTCCCTCTCAATCTCTCACACTCATGATCCCTTCCATACTGACAATCTCACACTCACTCAGATAATTGCACTATCAGTGCTGGTAACATCTTCTGCTGCGTACTGGAACGATGTTGGGGGGTCTTGGTCACAGTAGGAGGTTCTGTGGCTGAGCCCTGAGCTGGAGCCCATCAGCAAGCTGCTAGCGAGGGGCGCAGACAGCAGAGTGCTGGAGATGTCTCTTGCGGTGCGACCATTATCATCTTCCATGAAGGCGCTAGCGAGGGCCAGCCCGCTCGCCGTGAACTTGGTCAGGAGGTCAAAGCCCCTCAAACCCATCTCGAAATCACTGTGACGCTGTTCAGTCACCTCCTGTGTTAGCAGAAACAGCCACAATTGCATCCGATTCAATATCAATTCGAGCAATAAATTCTCTTTCCATTTCAAATTTTCATTACACTGGCTTTCTCACTCTTCACACTCCCTCGACACTCACACTCTCCAGCACTCACTCCATCTCTCTCAGTCACACATACAACCTCTCACTCACACTCACGCTCTCCCTCTCTCTCACTGCCGCGTTTTACCCACAAAACACGCAGTCATCACACTTTCCAGTGTATTCTGTGAAGCTCTTTGAGACGACAACAACAATAAATGACATTTACACTACACCTTTCAGTCGGGAGGACGTCCCAAGGCGCTGAACAGTCAGGGATTTGGACCTGAGCTGGGGTTTGGGATCAGGAGTGGTGGTGGGCAGGGAGGGTGGGGGTAGGAGGGTGACCGAAGGCACGGTCGAAGAGGAGGGACTTGAGACCGGCCTTGAAGGAGGCGAGGGATAATAAGAGAGGAATAACTCTTGAAAAATATCTCGAAGATGTGATAAGGCAAGATATTTTATCAAATGCGAGGATTATTAATATTATTCAGCAGATATTACCTTTGACCGGTTTCTATTGCCTTGTTTATTGCCTCTCCTCATTTTCTGGAGACACTGAGTCTAGTTTTGGATGAAGAGGATCTGATCTCTCGACATCACCCACCCAACTTTCCGTCTGCCCATCACTACATACAGCTGCTTCTTAAATGCGTCCCGGTGTCTTGGCCTCTACCACCCTTCCTGGCAACCTTGTTCCAGTCGTTAATTACATAGGAACACAGGACACAGGGATTCGAGGTGCATCCAGTCCTCCTTCCACCATCCTGGCAGTCGCTTGACATGTCGTGTCCCAAACCATATACTGTGTCCCCAAGATTTTATTTTCTTGCAGGTATCTATCTCATTTGTTCTTGAAACAAACGGTACTTTCGGCTTCCACCGTCCGTCTCCCGAGGGATCCTGTTCCATACGTTTACTACTCGCTCACCGAAGTAGTGTTTCCCCAGATTAGCTCTGAATTTACCCGCCTTCAATCACTCTGGGTCAGGAAAAATGCTCTGGTGTCTGTCTTGGAACTCTTTACAACTCTAAGTCTGTGTCCTCTTGTTCTACTGCCTTGGTATATACCAAAAGTATTGTTCAGATTTGCTTTTTCAATCCAAATTAAAATTATTATAGATCTCTACAAAGTCTCCTATGAGTTGCCTTCTCTCTAGCATGAAGAGCCGTCGCTTGTCCCACTCATACCCAGCAAGTTGGCCTGTTTCCGTGCTGTAAAAATCGGCGTAAAACGAAATCATTTTCTCCAAAGCCTCCTCATATCCATTTCCTTCTTATGAGGTCTAGCACAGAACACTAGTGACCTACCAGTCAGTGCTCTATAATAATGATAATAATCCTTGCAATTGCACCTTATCATATAGGCCTTATCACATCTTCGAGATGTCTCAAAGCTCTTTGCAGAATATACCGTAAAGTGAATTGACTATATCTTTTGTGGGCGAAAAGTGGCAGTAATTGTGCACAGCATTACTGTGACCAAATTATTAATATTTTCTATTTATTTATTTTTGAAGCGATTATTACTCCCTGAAAAGTGATCCGTCAATCGACTAACAACCAGGTTCCTACTTACTGCTTGGTGAACAGAGGCGTGTGGAGTAAGGAAACCTGCCTAAGGTTTCACCCTGCCTGGGAATGGAACCCAGGTCCTCTCACTTGCGAGGCGAGCGCTCTAACCACTGAGCTACAGGACTTCAGATCCAGAGTACTATTCGATGATGGTGACTGACGTTGCTCACCTCTTTCCTGCGTGCAATGGAGAGTAAAAGAGTAGCTCTGTGCTTGGAAACTTCGCTCCTCAATATTCCATTGGCTCCTGGCAGATTACCTGTCAATTTAATGCAGAGAAACAGAGTTTAGTGAGAAACAGGACATTTCTCTCCCCATCAGCTCGGGTTCCCACTCAGCTGTGAAGCTCTTTGAGATACTGTCCTAATATGAAAGGTTCTGTATAAATGTAACACCGTATTGTTGTACCTGGCAGCGCCTTATCTCTGATCTCCTCCCACCTTACTCCTCCACTCTCCCCTCTGCTCACTTAACTCAGGCTTGCTTTATATAATTAATAATTTGATACAGCGCCTTATCACGTCGTCGCAATGACTCAAAGCTCTTCACAGAATATACTGTAAAGTGAATTGACTGTGTATTTTGTGGACAAAACGCGGCAGCCAATTGCGCACAGAAGCGTCCCACAAACAGCCGTGGATTGAGTGATCACATTGATATCTTTTTTGAAGGGATTATGACCTCCAATCCACTAATATAACAACTGTGTTCCTACTTACTGCTGGGTAAACAGAAGCATGTGGAGTAAGGAAACTTGTCGAACCCGAGTCCTCTTGCGTGCGAGGCGAGCGCACTAACCACTACACTACTTGCTTTGCTGCGTGTCCCTATCTCCTCCGCAAATGTTTCCTTCTTAAGTACTTATCCAATTTCCTTTGGAAAGCTATCAGGCAGTGCATTCCAGATCGTAACAACTCTCTGCTGCAAAAACATTTCTCCTCGTCTACCCTCTGGTTCTTTTGCCAATTATCTCATAGCTGTGTCTTCTGGTTATCGACCCACCCGATTTTGAACACCTCTAGTAAATCTCCTCTCAACTTTCTCTGCTCGAAGGAGAAAAATCGCAGCCTCTCTTGTCTCTCCACATAATTGCAGTCCCTTATCCGATATCATTCTTGTAGATTTCCTCTGCACTACCTCCAAGGCCCTGACATAAGTCGTATAAAATCCAATTTATAATAAATGATGCTCCCCTTAGGTGAAGAACGCTGTAAAAATGCAAGCCAAGGTTGTATTAATGGGTTGCCTCACCCACAGCTGCATTGTAACAGTGTTGAATCCGGTACAAATCTGCCTCCAGTTGACTGCTGTCCTTAGTATAGCGTTTGACTTGTTTGAACAGTGGCTGGAGGAGACGGTGAATATTCTCCCTGCATTGCTTTTCGGATTTCTCGAGGTTAAGTTGTTGGTATTTCCTGTAATGATCTTCGAGGATCTGCAACAACAACAAGAAATTACATTTACACAGCGCCTTTCATGTCCCAAGGCACTGGGCAGTCAGGGATTTGGACCCGAGCTGGGGGCTAGGATCAGGGAGGGTAGGGGTAGGAGGGTGGCCGAAAGCGCGGTTGAAGAGGAGGGTCTTGAGATGGCCCTTGAAGGAGGCAAGGAAGGGGGCGAGGCAAAGTGTCTGTGGAATGGAGTTCCAAAGGATGGGGGGCAAAGAGGCTGAAGGCCCGACCGCGATGATGGGGCGGACCAGGCAGGGAACTTGGAGCGGAGCTGAGCGGACAGGTTGATATGACGAGAACAATACCCAGTCAAACACTGTGGCTTATTCGTTATTTCACACACAAACTGCATTTGATAAGAAACCTGGGTGGGAGTAATGACGTCTGGTTGAACACCGTCGAACACCTGTTAAAGTACGCTTCAATGTGTGCATATAGGTGGGCGGGTGGGGGGATTAGGTGTATAGATATTCTGGGAAGCGCTTTGGAGATCAGGCACTGACATGATAAGGCACTGTATCAAATGTAAGGATTACTATTAAGTTCATTAACAACATTAATTCCGGGTTCCTCCCCTCACTGCTCTGCGCAATTGGCTGCCGCATTTCACCCTCAAAAATATACAGTCGATTCACTTTGCAGTGTATTCTGTGAGGCGCTTTGAGACGTCTTGAAGATATGATAAGGCGCTGTATCAAATGCGAGGATTATTATTATTATTATTATAATAATGTCTTCGCTGCCTCACTGCACAGATAATCCCGGTCACTTACAGAAAGGTTTCCGAGCTGGTCATTTTTGAACAGGAAGGCCCCGGCTGCCTTTTGGAAGATCTCTCGGCTCTCTTTGCAAGCGTTGGCGTGCAGCCTGTACAAGTGGACCTCGCTGAGCGGCAAGTCAAGGAGCTGCTTCTCCATGCGGTCCAAGTAGGCAAGCTCAGCCTCCTTCGCAGCGCTCCGCACCTGCCTCTCAGCGATGCTGTGGTACAGGGAGCTCAGACGGAAAACAGATCCACTCTCGTTGATCAGAGCAACGAGATGCTCGATGATGCCTATCATATCTAATACACGAGGGGACAATGACCAGAGAAACACCACAAGAATAATAATAATAATCTTGCATTTGATTATAGTGCCTTATCACTTTGTTGAGACGTATCAGAGCGCTTCACAGAATAGACTGTAAAGCGAATTGATTGTGCAATTTGCTGGTGAAACGCGGCAGCCAATTGCACACAGCAGTGACCCATAAACAGTCGTGGATTGAGTGATTGAATTATTATTTTTTAGGGGGAGGGATTATTACCCCCGGAAAGAGATCCGCAAATCAACTTACTGCTAGGTAAACACAGGCGTGTGGTGTCAGGAAGCTGCAAAGATACACAGACGCAGACAAACAACAACAAATTACATTTGTATAGCACCTTTCACGGCAGGAGATTGTCGCTGACAGACACCCAACAACAACAAGATTCCATTTATAGAGCGCCTTTCACGTCGGGAGGACGTCCCAAGGCGCTGTACAGTTGGGTCAGGACCCGAGCATTGGGGGGAAATGGTCAGGGTGAGGGGACAAACAGTTAGAGTCACAGACAGACAGACACACGCACACACACACACACACACACACACACACACACAGAGTAAATAGAGATCTGGACGGAATTTCTTCTGAACGCGAATTGTACCAGTTCGGCTTCAAGAGGGAAAGAGCGCAGGAATCCCAACGCAACGTTCCCAGTAACACAGCACCTTTGACAGTGGCCGCCTGCTGTCCCCTTTGGCAAGGAATTTGCTTCACTCTGAAATCCTGGAGAATCTCTTGAGAAACGGCTGCCACTTTATCAACAAATTCCGGATTCAGTTCCGCGTCGCTGGCTTGCAAGAGGTTCCTGTGGCAAATAAGCAACAGTTTGACCTGTTGGTCTGCCAGGAGCACAAATAGGTGGGGCTGCCAATTTGGGTTCTTTAATAATAATAATAATCCTTGGACTTGATTGAAGCGCCTTATCACGTCTTCGAGGCGTCTCAAAGCGCTTCACAGAATATACCGTAAAGTGAAGTGACTGGAGCGCTTCACAGTGGCGGAGTCCGAACACCACCCCCGCCGCCCGCCCCGAGCCAGGAACAGAGGGAGGGGCGAAATGACCGTAAGCACGAACAATAAAGGAAAGCCTTTGAATTTGATTTGATTTGAAATTTTTTTAAAAAAGTGAAAAATTATTTTACGTTTCTTTTTAAAAAAAAACGCCCGAGAGGTTTGCCGGGGATTTGCCCAACACGTTTACCTGGTTAAGCGCCGATTGCAGCTCGGGAATGGTATGGCACGTGCCTGGCATTGATCGAAGCAGCAGGTGAAGTCCTCCTCTAACTGGTGTACCCTGAGCGCCATTTCCATCTCCCACTGGACGTCTTGGTCCTCGTCCACATTGTCCCGGAACAGAACGTAAAGATCTCGTGGTGTCATGCACTCCAGCTCCAGCTCCTCTCCTTGGCCCTTGTCCTTGATGAACTTGATGCATTTCATGGCCACCCTGTCACACTGATCAAGGAACCTTTTTCTTGAATTATTAATAATATTCCTTCCATTTGACATAGCGCCTTCGACGTCTTCGAGACGCCTCAAAGCGCTTCACAGGACACGCTGTAAAGTCAATTGACTGATTGGTAGGTGGGCCTTCAGCCTCTCTCTCTGCCACCATCAACTAAGACCTGCTCCACATCCTCTGCAAAAGGTTTCCAGGAAGGGTGATGGGAGGATGATCACCCAAAGGGCCTTCTTCATCTGAACCAACCCTGTGATCACTGTTTCCACGAACCTTTGACCACGTTCTATCTCTGTATCTGTTCCCAAATCCCTTCCTTGACACTTTCAAAACACATGAAATGAACTTTCCCTTTGACTGCTCCCTTGGTCGCCCTCCCCCACGCCCCCTCCCCCCACAATCTCTCTCCCAGATTGGGCTGACACCCTTTCTCGTAAAGCTTTTTGAGATGTTTGAGTAGGTGAAAGAAGGTGTGAGCCTAACCGAGACACAAGTGAAAAAGGATACTTCAAAAGCTCCAAGGTGCCCTGGTTGACTCGGTCTTTCATGTTGAGGACGACGATGCCACAAACAAACATATTGATGAAAATGATTCTCAAATCGGTTTCGTTGGAGGTTGTGCTTAAAGCATACTGGAGACCTTCTGTATCCAGAAACATCCTAACCCTTCCGTCCTTATTTGGATGTTCCTGGCAATACACCCAGATACCCTTTGTGGTAGCTTCTCCACAAGGTCTGACTTGAAAGCAGCTGTCTTCATCGGAAAGGCCCATCAGCTTGTTTGCAAAGTAAGATTTGCCTGACCTGGCCTGGCCCATGATTCCTATGGTCTCCACAATCTGGTCGAGCCCCAGCAAAAAGGTCTTTGTGGCTTCTTCCCAGATAATCTCCCCGCTTTCCCTGAACTTCAACAGAGGCAGTGGCTTTTCCATCAAAAGTCTGGAATCCGCCATTTTTCTTGACCTGCCTTCGATAGAAAATTATAATAATCATCGAATCTGAAAAAGCAACTGTCATGGGAACAGGAGAAGGCCATTCAGCCCCTCAAGTCTGTTCCCCTATTCTATTATATCATGGCTGATTTGTACCTCAACTCCAATTAACTTACCTGCCTTTGCCCCATATCCCTTGATACCCTGACCTAACAAACATCTATCCATCTCATGACTGTATATTTTGTGGGCAAAGCGTGGCAGCCAATTGCGCACAACAGTGTCCCACAAACAGTCATGGATTGAGTGACTAAATTATCATTTTTTTGGAAGAAATTATTACCCCTGGAAAGCGATCCGCCAATCGACTTAACAACCAGGTTCCTACTTACTGGTAGGTAGTCTACAGGCGTGTGGAGTAAGGGTACTTGCCTAAGGTTTCTCACTGCCCGGGAATCGAATCAGGTGCTCTCACTTGCGAGATGAGTGTTCTAACCGCTACCCTGCAGTATTCCACAGTTCCCTGATCCAGGGAAGGACAATTTATCCTCCTCATGCAACCCAGGCTGAGACGCAGCACTTACCGGGAACTGAAGCACTGAGCTACTGAGAGGTAAGTTGCTCTTTGCACTACAAAAGGTCCTATCGAGGCCCACCACGCCCCAAATCATTGATTCATATCTACGCAAACATCACAGCAGCACTATGGACTGCAGCAGAGACTTATTTGAGGTAATGATTAACTACAATCATCACTGTGCAATGACTTTTTGAGGCTGAATTAATTGAAATTGTTCAAAAGAGAACCGGGTAAGCAACTATTCAGTTGAATAAAAATATTTCAGGGATGTGGGTGAGAAGAGGTGGGAAATGGGATTAAAAATGATAGTTCGTAGAGCTCTGGCCCGGGCATGATGGGCCGAATGGCCTCCTGCGTTTACTGTTTCTGTGTCTAAAAATAAACATAATAATTATTGCATTTGATATAGCGCCTTATTGAGACGTCTCAAAGCACTTCACAGCATATACTGTAAGGTGAATTAACTGTATATTTTGTGGACGGAACGTGGCAGCCATTGCGCAAAGCAGTGTCCCACAAACAGTCATGGATTGAGTGACCAAATTATTTTTTTAAAAAGAAAAGTGATCTGTCAATCAACTTACAACCAAGTTCCTGCTTATTACTTGGTAAACAGAGTGGAGTAAGGAAACTTGCCTAGTATTTTGCCCCGCCTGAGAATCGAACCCAGGTCCTCTCGCTTGCAAGGCGAGCACTCTAAGCTACAGGACTCCACATTTACTCCACAAACATTGCTTTGAGGTTTGAGTGCTCTGAATAGGGAGTAAATGCTCACAAGTCCAGTCCCCAAAACCCCTCCAATCTCTCAGATCAGCCACCATGCTAATGGAATCATTCAGGAACTTGGGCAATTACTGGAATTTATCAAAACATGAAGACCACAGCTATTCTGGAAGTTTATCAGAACATTCCTGTTATCTTCAGGAAGTTGTGCTCTTCCGAAAGTTTATCAAAATCATGTAACATGTGGGTCATACCTACAGAGAGCCACGGTCAAAACAGAAAGCATCAACATCTTTGAGACGACACTGTGATTCATGTCACAGTCGCTCTGTAGAACAAGGCATTTCTTTAAAACATATAAAGTCCTGGGAAAAATCCCCACATCCCCAAGGAACTCCTCGGCAGTAATTTCAAACTTCCCCACCAGTTGATTGCCCTTCCATCAAAATAATATTAACAATGATAATAACGATAATATAGGTAATGGCAATTTTGTCAGCAAAGCGATCACAGTTTAGGCAGTTTTTACAGAATTTTAGGCCAATTTTCCAGAATATTATTTGATAATTAAAGACACTGTAGGATTATTACTTATTAGATTCCTGCTTTCATATTATTTCAATCATCGTAAGGTTTGAAACAAATAGATGAATGATAATATCCTTACATTTGATATAACGCCTTACCATGTCGTTGAGACGTCTTAAAGTGCTTCACAGGATACATTGTAAAGTGGAGTGTATCTTTGTGGACGAAACTCAGCAGCCAATCGTGCACAACAGCATTGCTTCACCTGTAGAAATCTGTGTTTAATGTTTCCATGAATGTGGATTAAAAATCCCCGAATCCCTTAAGAAATGCTACGCAACTGTGTGAGACGGAAAGACGTCAATGTAGGGAAGTGAAAGGAGGGACTGCGTGATTTTGTTTTCCTTTGAAACTTCGTCATTCGCTCTTAGAGAGGACTGATTGGTGTCTTCTAGTGAGATGTGGCTGGACTCTTTGCACAGTCTGGCAGACCAGTCGTGCGACGGTGCCAATGCAGCTGCTTTTCCCTGGATCTGATGGGAAGCTCTTACTGAACGAAGAGGCTTTGAAGCTGCTGGCGGGGCTGGAAGAACCCTTGGAGATGGTTGGTATCATGGGTCCCGCCCGCAATGCAAGTCCTACTTGGCCAACAGAATCGCCGGAGTGCCGAATGGCTTCCCGGTCAGGCCCAAGAGCCGGGGGGTGGCCAAAGGGATCTGGGTGCACTGCTGCCCCCACCCTAACAGGCCCGGTCATGTCCTTGTGGTGCTGGACTCCGAGGGCCTCCACCATGCTGCCAAGGACTGCAAGAGCTCTGAACTCAAGCTCCTCTTGATCCTCCTGATACTCTGCGGGGTGATGGTCATTAACGTGAAGGAATGAGTGGCAAGCAACATACTGGACAGTTTCAAGTATCCTTTACCTGCTGTGGTTGATGGGTGGGGGCTGGGGGGCAGGGTGGGTGAGGGTGATGTGTGGAGGGTGAGGAGGTGTGGATGGGGGGGGAAGTGGCTGCAAGCCTCAATTGGGGATTTTTTTTTGTTCAGCCGGGCGTCAGCCGTGCTTAAGAGTCTCCAAATCAAACCAAACCAATTCCATGCCTCCCACCTACACCTGGGAACCCAGAGATAGGTTGTTAGAATGGAATGCACTCTCTCTCTCACGCTGGAGGATCGCTTCTTGCTTACCCAATTCCGGTAAATCAGGCGCAGGTTGGCAAGAGCCAAAGCTTGGGGGGGGTGTGCGTTGGGGTAATTGCTGGGGTTGAGCCAAAAGCGCGTAGCTTGCCACTGATAGCACTGTCTGGCAAGTTTTCCCACTGCTTCTCCAGCTGGAACCACCCTAACCGTTTGGGCCTTGGCTTGCAGGTTTAACAGGAGCTGAGCGGGATGCAGAGAGGTCAGACCAGGGTAGAGAAGGGATCATTTAAGCAGGGTAATATTGTCACTCAATCCAAGACAGTTTGTGGGACACTGCTGTGTTTTTTTTGGCTGCCACGTTTTCCCCATAAAATATACAGTCATTTCACTTTACAGTATATCTGTGAAGCGCTTTGAGACGTCTCGAAGAGGTGATAAGCTGCTGTATCCAATGCAAGAATTGTTAGTATTATTTTTCCCCTGAGCCCAAGTAAAAGGATAGCCCTGACCGTGCTGAGCAATATCCAGAAGACAGAATGCCAAGTCAGCGGGCAGTCACTGCGTGATAGCCTGACACCGGGGAAGATGTTTGTGGTGCTGAGGGACAGCCCGGATGAGAATTCGGAAATCGAGATGGAAACCAAGGAGGTCTTGGAAGGACAGGACATGCAGGAGGACATCGCCAAACATTTCCAGGCAGTCGAGCACTACACGATACCGTGTCCTACCTGTGACAGGAAACTGATAGTTTAATAGAGCGTGTTGTGTGTATGTTGGGGGGGGGGGGGGGGGGCGGGGCGGGGGGAGAGGGGGATGTGTGGAAGAGATTCTCACTAAATTCCCCTCCCACTAACTTCTCTATTCTTGGGTCAATTCTAATTTTAATATACTTTTTCCCAGATATCTCGATAGTGCGGCGGATGACAAGCTGGCCCCCGACTTCGTGAGCAAGATCTCTGATCTAGTTGAAAATGTGCGTGCCTCAACCCTTGTGAAATGCATCCCCATCCGTGAGAGGGGGCAGAAAGCCAGGTCAGGGTCAGGTAAGCATTTTAGTGATTTGTCATTTCTCTTTCCTCCCCTCCTATCCACAGCTGGGATCAAGAGCTCAGGAGAGATTGAGATTAAGTGCTCTAACCACTGAGCTACAGGACTCGCCACCCATTTTTCTTATTCCTCTCAGCTCAGGTACAGAGAAACACTAGCACACATGCCTCTGAATTGAGGCACATCATGTTCATTAAATAAATATAATAATTCTTGCATTTGATATAGCGCCTTACCTCGTCTTTGAGACATCTCAAAGCTCTTCACAGAATATACTTTAAAGTGAATTGACTGTATATTTTGTGGACAAAACGCAGCAACCAATTGTGCACAGCAGCGTCCCACAAACAGTCATGGATTGAGTGCCCAAATTATTTGATCTTATTAATTTTTTTGAAGGGATTATTACCCCTGAAAAAAGCAATCCATCAATCAACTAACAACTGGGTTCCTACTTAAACAGAGGCATGTGGAGAAGGAAACTTGCCCAATGTTTCACCCTGGTCAGGAATCAAACCCAGGTCCTCTCACTTGTGAAGGGAGTGCCCGAACCACTAAGATACAGGACCGCACATGAGTCAAAATGAAACTTAGTGGAAATGAAACTATCCTGGTTCCTTAAAGCAACATTGGCCAAACAGCTCCACTGCAGCTGTATCAATGTTGAGAAATCACATTTCTCACCATACCCAGCTGAAATATGTTAGTTACTGATGATAGCTCCATGTCCCCCACACTGTCCGTCCCACCTTCGGCAGTAGGGCATTAAGCCTTTCTGTCCTCACCCTCTGGCACTCCATCCATTGCGGGAAAAATAGGCTTGACCATCTGGAGTCCTGTAGCTCAGTGGTGAGAGCGCTCACCTCGCAAGCGAGAGACCTGGGTTTGATTCACCAGCAGGGCGAAACGTTGGGCAAGTTTCCTTACTCTGCACGGCTCCGTTCACCTAGCAGTAAATAGAAACCTGGATGTTAGTTGATCGGCTGATCGCTTTTCCAGGGATAATAATCCTCTAAAATAAAAAAATAATAATTTGGTCCCTCAATCCACAACTGTTTGTGGGACGCTGTTGTGTGCAATTGGCTGCCGTGTTTCTCCCACAAATATGCAGTCAATTCACTTTGTGGCATATTCTGTGAAGCAATATGAGGATTTTAGAAGACATGCAAAGCACTATAATAATAATCCTTGCATTTGATATAACGCTTTTCACGTCGGGAGGACATCCCAAAGCGCTTCACAGAACACACTGTAAAGTGAACTGACTGTATATTTGTGGGCGAACGCGGCAGCCAATTGCGCACAGCAATGTCCCATAAACAGTCGTAGATTGAAAATGACCAATTTATTATTGTTTTTGGTTTTGGAGGGATTATTATTAGGCTCTGTGTGGAGTAAGGAAACTTGCCCAAGGTTTCGCCCTCTGCCTGGAATCGAACCCAGGTCTCTCACTTGCAAAGCGAGTGCTCTAACCACTGAGCTACTATATCAAATGCAAGGATTATTATTATTATTATTATCCCAGAATCGTTTCACCTCATCCCCTCCTTTGCCTCCTTCACGGCCCGTCTCAAGCCCTTCCTCTTTGACTGAGCCTTTGGCCATCCTCCCTCTCCTTCTCCACTTTCCCTCCACTCTCTTGC